TCCTGTGAAGATATTTGGAGATCTTCATGGACTATTTGGTGATTTGATGCGTCTGGGCGATGAATATGGATCTCCTTCTACAGCAGGAGACATTACGTGAGTATTTGGGTGTAACTGGGTTTCTATCCCAAGTGTTTCTGTTAGCACTTGGGTTTTGATAGGCGTGTTGGCTCCTGGGTGATTGTGGATGGGGATGTGTGTTTCTTCAATTTAGTGATGGGGAGGCATGGTTGGAATCACTGACCTTTTGGGCACATGCAGTTGCTTATTGGAAGAGGAAGCAATGTTTCGATATCTGTCGATGTGGATCTAATTTGATTCGGAGGGAGCTTCGGTCGTGGGTTGTAAATGCAAGTTGCGTGTAGTTAGGTGATGGCTAACTACGTGGTGTGTTAAACTTGCAGATATATTGATTATCTTTTCTTGGGAGATTATGTTGATCGGGGGCAGCATAGCTTAGAAACTATCACTCTTTTACTTGCTCTGAAGGTACGATTCTATCTGCTATTCATTTATACCTATCCCCGCCCCCCCCCCCCCCCCCGTTAGTGCACACCAATAGGTCTAAAGCCTATTCCTGGGTTCAGCTACTAAGGTGGCTAGTAGCTCCCAGGCTTGGGGGTTTTACATATTTCTCGCATCGTTCTGGTAGTATCGCACTTGAGGAATTAAGAAAGTGCATGGTGGGACCTATCAGTAGACGGTATCTCGACTTGTAATGCACCGCGGGCCCCTATCCATGTTAAACCTGGCAGAGTTGACCTCTGGAGTGTTGAACACCAGGGGTGCATGGGGCTAGGTTTCACCAATTTGGAGTTCAAGAATGAATTGGTAGATCCTTGATTAGAGCAATACGGTCGTTTTAAGCTATTTTCAGCATTATGAGGATGCGTAGAAAGTTCGTCGGTCGCCCCCTGGCCGAAGGAAAGGAGGGAAAAAGAAAAGCCCAAATAGTCTTGGTGAGGGGCTGGACATTAGGACCCTCTGATAAAGAGGGTAATGGGGTGTTGGTTCCTCAGATTTCTGACCTGTATTTAAGTCGTTGACACAGGTAAGGTGGCTTGTGTTGTTTGGCAGATTGAGTATCCAAATAATGTACATCTTATTCGTGGAAATCATGAAGCTGCTGATATAAATGCTCTGTTTGGGTTTCGCATCGAATGCATCGAGCGTATGGTACGTCGGCATTCGAACCATTTTAGGGGGTTGTGTAATTTGCAGCATGCAGCCATGTTTACGCTGAGGAGTTTGCTCTGTGGGTTGCTGTAGCTCTGCAGTACCTCGTTGTGCACATTTGGACATTTTGTGCGGTGCACTTGCACATCGAAGTTTTAATATGAGAAATGGGTTGTCAAATTTTGAGTATAAACCATGAGTGGGTGAAGTTAGACGAGCCTTCCATTAGGATTGTGTAGAGCGCTTTTCACATTCTTGCTGTTCGTGTGCGTTTGAGATACTAGACGACATTATGTCGATTACATTGCTGCTACTTGCATCATGTAAAGAGTAATCACGTTTCATGCAGGATGGTTGGACGGTCTGTCGGTAGGATTTGGTGTAGTTGGTGTAGTACTCATTTGATACTGGCATGGTGATGCTTAGGGTGAGCGTGATGGAATATGGGCTTGGCAACGCATCAACCAACTGTTCAACTGGCTGCCGCTTGCTGCCCTTATAGAGAAGAAGATTATCTGCATGCATGGAGGAATCGGGAGATCGATCAATCACCTACATCAAATTGAATCCCTGCAACGGCCCATCACTATGGAAGCGGGCTCTGTTGTGCTTATGGACCTTCTTTGGTACGGTGTCATATCTCTTCAGTACGGATACTAATTCTTGTGCGAAGAGTCTAATTCTGTCGCGATGTGCCGATATGATCGTCCGCGAATCGCTCAAGTAGCATGCAACGAAGGTGCAGCATACAATCATGTGGCAAGTGCCGATCTGAGCAACAATGGTGGTTTTTGCAGGTCTGATCCAACAGAGAATGATAGTGTGGAGGGCCTGCGACCAAACGCACGAGGCCCAGGGCTAGTGACCTTTGGGGTGAGTTGTAGCTCCACTGATTCTCGGTGTTGATTCGCGTGAAGCGGTTGTGACTCGCGCTTCGTCTGACTGTCGATGATTGAAGTACGTAGGGAATTCTGGAATTCCATTTGCTCATATTCCTGATGTGGTCTGTTGCAGCCGGACCGTGTCATGGAGTTTTGTAAAAATAATGACCTTCAACTTATTGTGCGGGCACATGAGTGCGTGATGGACGGGTTTGAGCGTTTTGCTCAAGGGCACCTAATTACTCTGTTTTCTGCTACGAATTACTGCGGTAAGGATGGAGGTTTGCCATATTGGATACACGCATAGGCTTTGAGGGTGTTCTTAGTTTTGTATCGCTCCAGTTGGTTTAAACTTAGGTCTGAGCCTATGAAAGTATGGACATGACTAGCAGTAGGTGCATGAAAGTGCAGTGTAGCGTGAGACGGTGCTGCTGTTAAGAAGCAGAAGTTTGGTATGTGTTAAAACTATTTGAATGAGACTTCTGGCTGTGGCGAGTTTGTGCGACTTGATATCCTACCAGTTTTACTGAGCGATTTCAATACTGTTTGTGGTTGATACTAGGCACTGCCAACAATGCGGGTGCAATTTTGGTTTTGGGAAGGGACTTGGTGGTGGTGCCGAAGCTAATCCATCCCATCCCTCCTGCCATCACGTCCCCTGAATCGTCACCAGAGCGGCATCTTGAAGACACGTGGATGCAGGTATTTGCGTGTTGTGCAATCTATCCTGCTTTGTTCGTTTAGTTATTTTTGTTATGTTATGTTTTGTTTTTTGTTTTTCTTTTTGGAGTGATGACTTCTTGCTGTTTCTAGCTGTGTGTTTTTGAAGTCCATGTTCCAAGTGCAGTGGGCATGCCAAGCCCCAAGTCTTACGGAAGGTGGGACATAAGATAAAGTGTGTGTTTGGTCGATGGTAGCCTTTGATGTTTCCAGCAACGGTTGTATGGCCTGACAATATGGTTCGACCTGATATTGGCAGGAATTGAATGTGCAAAGGCCGCCTACTCCCACTCGAGGGCGACCGCAAGCGGGAAATGATCGGGGTTCTTTAGCCTGGATTTGATGGTTAGAGTAGATTTGGCTATATGTAGGGCAAGTCACCTTATGGTGGAGATTAGTTTGAGGATTGTAGGTTTTGTAAAGTATGCCAATGTGCACTGCTTTAGGAATAACAAGTCACTTCCGGTTCCTATTCCTGGGCTTGCATGGTCACTTCTGTTGCATTTATTTTTGTTGTACAAAATTTGGGTTTGTGAGGACTCTCAATTTTTGGGCAAGAGTCCAATATCTAATCGTATTTAGGAGGAAAAAAGGACATTTAAAAACATATAGAAACTATATCACAATTTAATGACATATAACTTTGATTGGCACAGTTCTTATAGATGGAAGTATTGACATGAAAATAGATTATCAAACATATGTTGAACGTTTCACAATATTACATTAGCAAGGTAGAGGCAATAGAAAAAATATCATGAAGAATTAGAGATTCTAAGAAGAAATAATGTCTAATAAAACTCCAATGAAATATTTTTGATTAATAATTTGATAACAACTAAGTCTATAATCATTGAGATGTCAAATCAAAAGTTGCCCTTGCAAATTTGGATATATCTTAATGCATCAAATATTTTTACTATCATTTGGTGGTGGTTGTATTTACAATTCTTATTTGATAAGAAGAGATTTTTATTTCATGTTCATGGCATTCATGTATTGTATAGTATCTAGTGATGTTATGGCATCATAATTAGTGTGGAGTTTAAGTAAATATTTTTCATTGCGGCTATACAAGTTAGAAAAGTGTTAAAAGTTGTTCCTTGTCTAGAACCAAAAGACATAAGCCAGGAACCCATTTCTCAGAAGTCCAACAACTCAACACACTAAACAATATGGGGTATTTCAGAGCTGCTATAAATATTGGCTTATTGTGAAATGTCCATTATTAAGAAGAGAATTGAGGCTTTGTCCATTACTTAATTGGAATCACATGGTTTTTGGCCGAACAATATCCTAGCTAGTGGTGCAGCTGCCTAGGATCCACTAAGTATTGTACTAATTTTCCACAACCATGTTGTGCTTTCTCCAATCCTTAAATACCCTTCTACCTTACTACGTCCTTGTTAATTTTGGTGACTTCATAATAGCACATGATCTCCTTGCTTTTTGTGCCTCTAACATCTTGCCGTCATAATACTTTGGCAAGTATTATCTATGGACAAGTACAGGCTTCTCAAACGAGTAACACCATCGCATGCGGGTGTAATCACCTCGGCCAAAAACCATGTGATTCCAATTAAGTAATGGACAAAGCCTCAATTCTCTTCTTAATAATGGACATTTCACAATAAGCCCATGACAACCCTATCTAGAATCATTGTACTCCATCGCAATACTAATGTTACAATTCAATATCCAAAACATTAAATTCAACACTTTTGGTTCTAGACAAGGAACAACTTTTAACACTTTTCTAACTTGTATAGCCGCAATGAAAAATATTTACTTAAACTCCACACTAATTATGATGCCATAACATCACTAGATACTATACAATACATGAATGCCATGAACATGAAATAAAAATCTCTTCTTATCAAATAAGAATTGTAAATACAACCACCACCAAATGATAGTAAAAATATTTGATGCATTAAGATATATCCAAATTTGCAAGGGCAACTTTTGATTTGACATCTCAATGATTATAGACTTAGTTGTTATCAAATTATTAATCAAAAATATTTCATTGGAGTTTTATTAGACATTATTTCTTCTTAGAATCTCTAATTCTTCATGATATTTTTTCTATTGCCTCTACCTTGCTAATGTAATATTGTGAAACGTTCAACATATGTTTGATAATCTATTTTCATGTCAATACTTCCATCTATAAGAACTGTGCCAATCAAAGTTATATGTCATTAAATTGTGATATAGTTTCTATATGTTTTTAAATGTCCTTTTTTCCTCCTAAATACGATTAGATATTGGACTCTTGCCCAAAAATTGAGAGTCCTCACAAACCCAAATTTTGTACAACAAAAATAAATGCAACAGAAGTGACCATGCAAGCCCAGGAATAGGAACCGGAAGTGACTTGTTATTCCTAAAGCAGTGCACATTGGCATACTTTACAAAACCTACAATCCTCAAACTAATCTCCACCATAAGGTGACTTGCCCTACATATAGCCAAATCTACTCTAACCATCAAATCCAGGCTAAAGAACCCCGATCATTTCCCGCTTGCGGTCGCCCTCGAGTGGGAGTAGGCGGCCTTTGCACATTCAATTCCTGCCAATATCAGGTCGAACCATATTGTCAGGCCATACAACCGTTGCTGGAAACATCAAAGGCTACCATCGACCAAACACACACTTTATCTTATGTCCCACCTTCCGTAAGACTTGGGGCTTGGCATGCCCACTGCACTTGGAACATGGACTTCAAAAACACACAGCTAGAAACAGCAAGAAGTCATCACTCCAAAAAGAAAAACAAAAAACAAAACATAACATAACAAAAATAACTAAACGAACAAAGCAGGATAGATTGCACAACACGCAAATACCTGCATCCACGTGTCTTCAAGATGCCGCTCTGGTGACGATTCAGGGGACGTGATGGCAGGAGGGATGGGATGGATTAGCTTCGGCACCACCACCAAGTCCCTTCCCAAAACCAAAATTGCACCCGCATTGTTGGCAGTGCCTAGTATCAACCACAAACAGTATTGAAATCGCTCAGTAAAACTGGTAGGATATCAAGTCGCACAAACTCGCCACAGCCAGAAGTCTCATTCAAATAGTTTTAACACATACCAAACTTCTGCTTCTTAACAGCAGCACCGTCTCACGCTACACTGCACTTTCATGCACCTACTGCTAGTCATGTCCATACTTTCATAGGCTCAGACCTAAGTTTAAACCAACTGGAGCGATACAAAACTAAGAACACCCTCAAAGCCTATGCGTGTATCCAATATGGCAAACCTCCATCCTTACCGCAGTAATTCGTAGCAGAAAACAGAGTAATTAGGTGCCCTTGAGCAAAACGCTCAAACCCGTCCATCACGCACTCATGTGCCCGCACAATAAGTTGAAGGTCATTATTTTTACAAAACTCCATGACACGGTCCGGCTGCAACAGACCACATCAGGAATATGAGCAAATGGAATTCCAGAATTCCCTACGTACTTCAATCATCGACAGTCAGACGAAGCGCGAGTCACAACCGCTTCACGCGAATCAACACCGAGAATCAGTGGAGCTACAACTCACCCCAAAGGTCACTAGCCCTGGGCCTCGTGCGTTTGGTCGCAGGCCCTCCACACTATCATTCTCTGTTGGATCAGACCTGCAAAAACCACCATTGTTGCTCAGATCGGCACTTGCCACATGATTGTATGCTGCACCTTCGTTGCATGCTACTTGAGCGATTCGCGGACGATCATATCGGCACATCGCGACAGAATTAGACTCTTCGCACAAGAATTAGTATCCGTACTGAAGAGATATGACACCGTACCAAAGAAGGTCCATAAGCACAACAGAGCCCGCTTCCATAGTGATGGGCCGTTGCAGGGATTCAATTTGATGTAGGTGATTGATCGATCTCCCGATTCCTCCATGCATGCAGATAATCTTCTTCTCTATAAGGGCAGCAAGCGGCAGCCAGTTGAACAGTTGGTTGATGCGTTGCCAAGCCCATATTCCATCACGCTCACCCTAAGCATCACCATGCCAGTATCAAATGAGTACTACACCAACTACACCAAATCCTACCGACAGACCGTCCAACCATCCTGCATGAAACGTGATTACTCTTTACATGATGCAAGTAGCAGCAATGTAATCGACATAATGTCGTCTAGTATCTCAAACGCACACGAACAGCAAGAATGTGAAAAGCGCTCTACACAATCCTAATGGAAGGCTCGTCTAACTTCACCCACTCATGGTTTATACTCAAAATTTGACAACCCATTTCTCATATTAAAACTTCGATGTGCAAGTGCACCGCACAAAATGTCCAAATGTGCACAACGAGGTACTGCAGAGCTACAGCAACCCACAGAGCAAACTCCTCAGCGTAAACATGGCTGCATGCTGCAAATTACACAACCCCCTAAAATGGTTCGAATGCCGACGTACCATACGCTCGATGCATTCGATGCGAAACCCAAACAGAGCATTTATATCAGCAGCTTCATGATTTCCACGAATAAGATGTACATTATTTGGATACTCAATCTGCCAAACAACACAAGCCACCTTACCTGTGTCAACGACTTAAATACAGGTCAGAAATCTGAGGAACCAACACCCCATTACCCTCTTTATCAGAGGGTCCTAATGTCCAGCCCCTCACCAAGACTATTTGGGCTTTTCTTTTTCCCTCCTTTCCTTCGGCCAGGGGGCGACCGACGAACTTTCTACGCATCCTCATAATGCTGAAAATAGCTTAAAACGACCGTATTGCTCTAATCAAGGATCTACCAATTCATTCTTGAACTCCAAATTGGTGAAACCTAGCCCCATGCACCCCTGGTGTTCAACACTCCAGAGGTCAACTCTGCCAGGTTTAACATGGATAGGGGCCCGCGGTGCATTACAAGTCGAGATACCGTCTACTGATAGGTCCCACCATGCACTTTCTTAATTCCTCAAGTGCGATACTACCAGAACGATGCGAGAAATATGTAAAACCCCCAAGCCTGGGAGCTACTAGCCACCTTAGTAGCTGAACCCAGGAATAGGCTTTAGACCTATTGGTGTGCACTAACGGGGGGGGGGGGGGGGGGGCGGGGATAGGTATAAATGAATAGCAGATAGAATCGTACCTTCAGAGCAAGTAAAAGAGTGATAGTTTCTAAGCTATGCTGCCCCCGATCAACATAATCTCCCAAGAAAAGATAATCAATATATCTGCAAGTTTAACACACCACGTAGTTAGCCATCACCTAACTACACGCAACTTGCATTTACAACCCACGACCGAAGCTCCCTCCGAATCAAATTAGATCCACATCGACAGATATCGAAACATTGCTTCCTCTTCCAATAAGCAACTGCATGTGCCCAAAAGGTCAGTGATTCCAACCATGCCTCCCCATCACTAAATTGAAGAAACACACATCCCCATCCACAATCACCCAGGAGCCAACACGCCTATCAAAACCCAACTGCTAACAGAAACACTTTGGATAGAAACCCAGTTACACCCAAATACTCACGTAATGTCTCCTGCTGTAGAAGGAGATCCATATTCATCGAACAGACGCATCAAATCACCAAATTGTCCATGAAGATCTCCAAATATCTTCACAGGAGCTCTTATTTGCAACACACTTGATTCTTGACTAAACAATCGTTCCGCCGCATCACAAAGCTCAGCAATCTCGTTGCAGTCCATGAAAAATTGCCTCTTTACAGGCGGCTTCCAACCTCGAGGCTTCAGCAAGTACGCCAACACCTGACAACAACGAATACAACTGCGCCATGAATGACTCCACATACATGAACTGGACCCCGTTCAAGATCACTCTGCTCCGCATTTTTTTTTTCCTCCCCCACAATACTACAAAGATGGAATCGCAAACAACTCACCTTCTTCTGAACACTAGCCATAGACATTTGACGGTCGAGAAGCCGCCTTGCTAACATCGCACTATTTGGGGTAGTTCCATAACTAACTCGCCGACCTTCGTTCTCAAATTGGTCGATAGATAGCTGCCTGACCAGCCCTCCCAACGCACCTCCAGATTCAGCTGCCACCACTACCTGCAGCCGCACGCCCATCACATCAACCCGATGGACAACCATATCACTCACCATAATTATTGCATATTGCCATGCGGCATATCAAACATCACCGTTGCGAGCTCGGTTTTGCCTCCACCTCCGCATTCAATTCAATTCTCCTTCAACTTACAGCCTACATACACCCATGCACTCCCAAAAAAACGTCTTTGCAAGCAACACTTTCTCAATGCCAAGTTCATTCAAAAAAGTCCTACTTCCAATTCAACTGCTCTGCCTCACTATGCACAGCAACCACAATGTTCAGGTCCTTACTGCTCTGTGATGAAGCCTGACGCCTGTAGGTGGTGTAGTAAGGGCTCCATCCGCATGAGCCAACTTGTTCAATCCCATTGAACCTGCTGCAGGTGTCATGGGTGATTCGCCACTTGGAGTGGCTTCCGCGCCACGATCCCTATCCGGGGCTCCATCCTCAACGTCCTCATTCGTATCTCGACACGCTGCAGCTTTCGCTTCTGCCGCCTTCAGCGCATTGCTGATAGCCTCTGCTTCTGCTGCCGATGCCTCTACCAGTGACTCTACTCCTTTTCTCTCGCTCCTGAAAAATACATCCAGCCTTTCAGAACGTTGACAAACTCAGGCGAACTTATCGACCCCAAGATCCTACATAATCACCCTGGGGCATCCCTGCTGGATCTAAACGGACACATTCGAGAAACATCAGACCAAGAGAGGAGAACATCCAACCACTAGGTTTGCACGCGAGGCGAAACGGGAAAAAGAGGGCAGAACGCTGAGCATCCTCTCCAAAGTCCAAACGCAAAACACTCACCGATGTCCATGAGCCAAGGCATTCTCTGTACTGATATCCATCGTTGCATCTCCGGCTGCAGGCGCTGCTACGGGGCTCCCCATCATAACTGACCCATCTGCCGTCTTCTGTCGCCCATCACCAACAGCTTTGGCACTGGAAATACTATTAGGCTGAGATGAAGGCGCTGACGAATGCAGAGCAGCCTGATGCAATGCTGCTGACGTCGTTTCTGCAGCAGCTAGATCCTCTGCTACTAACAAATCATCCAACAAAACACCTGTACAGAAACACCACAACAGCTGAATCAATACCACAACTGTCTAGATCAAATTACGCACCTACTCGACAGCTGAAGTTTCCCGAAGGAAATTGAGGATCTCCATAAACTACGACATTATCACACACGCGTTGTCACAACACTTGCACAAAAAAAAAAAAAAAAAACAAAAAATCTCAAATTGCAGATCAAATTCAGTTTCACTTCCTAGAGCAATAAAATTCCGTTAAAGAAGAGCACCTCCTCTTAGACCACCATACAAATAAATATGGTCACCAACGGACGCTGCTGCATGTCGACATCGTCTGGTCAGCTCAAGGATAGCATCCCCACCAGCCACGTCCTGAGAAAACCTCCCAGATCGTGGACTATTCACTACCGCCTTCTTATCGCACCATACACCGGCAGCTGTATCTAATACTGCGCACACCACCAACAAAAAAAGATGTCCGTCTCATTGTACTGCCAAACAGCCTAAACAATGCACATTACACGCAACTGAAAGAGCCGTGTAAACATTGCAACAACAATGGCTCTCCATTCATCACATATCTGCACAATTTACAACTTCACTGAAAAATGCAAAGAAAAGAGCCATTCTCCACATAATACTATGATTCAACGTGCCATCGCTTCAGTGCCTGGCAAAAAAGAGAAATTCACCCAACCTGCAACACTGGACTCATCTTCAACCATACGACCTCCTCCTAAGGCGCCCCCAGAAACATGGAGCCTAGCATTCACAAAAACCTGTCAAAACAATGCACTACTAGAGTGAGAGACATGGACGACATACCAAGAAAACCAATTTCGACCAAAGCCATTTCAGGCAGAAGACTAATGAATCCACCCTCAAGTTGCAACTTCTCAGTCACAACGCTTTGTACACCCTTGTCGAACAAAATTCTTGCTATCAATCAAGCGTTACAACCAAACGAAGATGAATGGCCGCATGACTTAACACAACCGAGGTTGTTGGGTTAATTCCTCTGCCTTGCTATGATGACTACACTTCACACCAACAAGTTTCCTAGCCGATACTGCTCACAGGCATCCTCAAAATGCACTTTCTTAATATGCATCACATGCGCTTGTCTGCAACACAAGCACTCCAGTATCATGGAGCCACGTACCGCAGCATGCTGATAACGTGCTGATGGCGCTATTCCAGGAGCTACTGCCCACTCCCACCGCCCGTCTCGATGTTTTGCAAGCCCGTAAGCAGTATCCAAGGGCTGCACTCACGAATTCCACACTTCACTCAAAAAATACAGCCCACTTACATCTATGCCTCAACTGCCGCAGGAACAAATTTATGTCACAAGCGTTAAACACATCGCAGCATACCACGCTGTTTGCGTCCCTCCCACCACAAAGAAGAAGCAGACCATCTGATCGCGCACATGCAGTCGCATACCTGCAACCATCAAATGCTTCACTATCAACACAACCTCTAACCATTCTCTTGCTCAAGACGAACAGCCCCACCACGTGTAAATCACAGCACCATTACAAACGGTACTAATACACAGGAAGCCGAGCTTTCCAGGAAAATCAAAACCCTCCATTTTTCGCGCGCAAAGACAGATGTACAACATAGATAAGCCTAGGCTCACTGTGGCCTTACTGATACAATTATTCCTACATTTACATTGCAAACATTCCACACGGATGAGGGGCATTCAGGACGACAAAGACATCTCCAGAGAGTCGATGGTTACATGCATGGAGGAGGGCCCTCTCCCTCTGGATCAAGCTTCCTCCACTCGTACGGCTTAGCTGCTGTATCCAAAGCCCACACGTCTGCTAGGGGTCGCTTGCCTGTGTCCAACCCTTGATCAGTAAGCGAGTATATTCGAAGGTACAAAGCCACAACACAACATGACGTGAAGACAACCATACAGAGATCACGTATTACTCTGTTGCAAGTAACACAAGGAAAACCACGGCACTTCGCACCGCGAGAAAACTAATACTTGGTTACACGATAATTGACACAAAATTTCCCACAAACGTCACAACTGTCCCTCCTGTCCAAGCACCAGCTCACCGTCGTTCCCACTAATAGATAAAAGAAACCGCTGCCCCACCAACGACATCACATGCCCATACCGAGGCCCTGGCCCCGCTCCTTGGACCACCACCCTGTGCCACCGGGGCTTCGCCTGAGTTAGATCCAGTACGTGAAGGTCGTCTGTTGACAATCCTGCCGGTCCGATTCCTCCCTGCTCACAAGAGCATAGATACATCCAACCACAACCTTTCACTCAGCAAAAGTATCATCAACCATGGTCTTCCAAAACGTGGAACACTTTGCGATAGAAGCATCGCGTGCCAATATTGAAACTGAAATTTCTGATAAATTACGCCTCATTATAATGTTTCCTTTCAAAAACTAGACATGAAACTTTTGAAACCAAACCGACGTGCTCCGCAGACACCAGAAGTACATCACGAGAAGGATCATCAGGACTAAATAAGCGAAATGCAGAAGCCATTGGCAACTCTATCATTACCACTGGAAAGCCATAAAACGCGGTCGCATACCTGGATAACAACCATGGTTCCCACCGCTGTGGCTGCATGCGCTGCTCGCGGAGAAGGTGGGTCCCCAACAGGAATGAGTCTGCACGACACAGCACAGCCCTACTTTCATTACAAAGTAAAAGGAAGCAGGATATCACTACACATCTACAAACAATGACCCAAAATACAACACGCGTGCCCACCACCTGCCAATACTATTGTTACTTCTCTCTCCATGGCCCTTGGGGATCTCGATAGCCCGACAATCGAGACAAAACTAGCGCCGTAAGAGAAAAAAACAAGAGCTCTGACAGCAACACATGTAAAACTGAGCAACATAATCTTCCTCTCACAAACTTGGGTCACTCACCTTGACCATTTTCTGCTAGTCACGTCATAACAGTGCACGTCTGCGGTTGCACCCGCCAACCCTGTCACAAAATTAACCACACATCTCAGAAAACTCCTCTCACCGCTCATCCAACATCACGCTCGGACCAGTTGAGATCAAGACGACACATGAATCTGACGAGGAGCCTAACTTCCATTCCACCACCGACACTTCAAATGGGCTTTTCATTGCATGCATTCCACCATCGATAACTGTACCAGCCCATCCTAGCAGGAACGCACGATCACCTCCACAACCTTTGAGGTTGCAGGTCTCACTATCACTCTCATCATACTGCATCCATGTATATCCTGTAAACACTGCTGTCAATCTCTAGCAGAGGCGTAAAACCCCCCTCCTGCAGCGACCTCCAGTAACACCTCTCGTCACGAACCCTAGCAGAAGTCCAACGCATTTGAATCTCTGAGATCCATCACCCACAGCCAAGGAGCCCACATAGCTCACAGTTGCCCATCCTCCGATCTATCTATCCAGGATTGCGAACGACATCTCCCAACAGTCTTGCTAACTCCAGAGGACACTGACCTTCGGAACTAAACTACCATCTGCAGGGATTTGCAAAGATGCTCACGGTACAGGATATGCCGGACTTATGCGGTTCTGGTAATTCAGTATTACCATCAGCACCTGAATCTTCTCCGTACCCACCGTTTCTTAGGGTATGAGGTTTAAGCCCTAGCGCTGACAAGCTTCTATGAGTGATTGCTATGGGATACGAATTCAAATACAGAACTAAAACTTCACCGCGGAATAGAGCTGCGAGGGTCGAACGGATCATAGGGCGTGAATCAACACCAAGTGCTTCTTGAAACGCTCAATCTCCTATCCCGCTCAAAACTCCGCTTCAACCTCTACAAGTCCAACACATTCCAAGTCCCTTGACTAAAATAGTGCCAAAACCTAAACAGATCTGCACACGCAGCACCATCGTAGCCTATTCAAAACGATCGACCATTGAAATTAACCGCCAAAGCCCTCCATTACAGCAGTAATCCAGCCTTCCAATCGTCACGCCTTCAAAATCCTCAAAGTCCACTCATGAAGGGAAACCGGGTTGGCGAATCCGTCCAATGAGCTACAGGTTCTTCTCATACCGGCTCCGCCATTGTACTCAAAACAGTAATCATAAAACACGGCCCCTCCTCTAGAACTTTAGGCTTCCTCGAAACGCTCACCTTCGTATTCACCCCTAAAATATCACACTCTTAGCCCTAGAAAAATCTTCGCAACCAGCCAGCTGCCGCTCAACACGAGCTGTGAGCTGCTCTTGTTCCTCAGACACTCAACATCCGGGATTCTCAGCGCTCCCTTCCGCGATGCAAATCTGTGCGCCTACGCTTTTCGGCTAAGGGGAGAGAAATTTCAATGCCCAACGCTAATTCGACAACTCGATACAACAACCGAACCCCGTCCATGAGGCTCTAAAACAATCGAAAATGAGAGAGGGAGGCAAAACAGAGCTCGAAATCTTACGAATGCCGGCACCAGCAGCAGCAGTCTGAGGTCCGCCCGCGGCGGACGAATTCCCCTCCAACGCAGTCGCGCCCCCGAACAAAATCAATCTCGGACCGACGTATCCCGGCGTCCCTTCCTCCCCAACCGCTGCCACGGCCGTCAACGTGTGCCCGCAACGCGGCCCCGGTCCATCCTCCTTCTTCTCGATCACGGCGCTCACCATTCGGAACGCTGGCGCGGGTCGCGGCAACGTGGCCATCGCCACCTGCTGCCGCCCCGCCACTGCTTGCGCAGCAGATGGGGAAGACGATGGCATCTCCTCTATGTTCTCTCCTCCTACCGCCTCCCCGTTGGCGCTCCCGTTGGCGCTGCTGCTGCTGCTCTTCCCGTTGGCCTCGCTCTTGGACACCGCCGCATCTCGTCCCATTCCCGCCCCGGCTTCCATATCCCTATCTAAACCTCCGAGCCTCAATTCCTGCGACGACCATTCCGCCGCTCCGCTTCCATCGACTCAACCGCGATCCTCCGTCGAGACTCCGGCGCGGGCGCCTTTCGCCACACTCCACCGCGCGACGCAAAGCGGCGAGGATCGGAAGCAGAGTGAGGTGGACAAGGAAGGAAGGGGGAAAGCGGAGCGGCAGCGATCGAGGCGAGCCTCGTCGTGTGGTGTGGTGTGTTGGTACTGTGGTGTCGCTGGTATGCCTCCCTCCCTCGCAAGGCCTCGCTCGCAAACGGGGGCTTCGCTCCCATTCTCTTCCCTTCCCCGACTCCCCCTCTGCTCGACGCCTTTGCTCCACTGGACCACCCCCCTGGCCCCCTGCCCCCTTTCGCATCGCGGGCCCGGATCTTCTGCCCCCCGGCCCGGGGTCCACGCCGCTGCACCGCCACCTTGTGTTGGTGGGTCGCATGTGTTTGTCTGTAGTCGGTGAGGCTTCTCCTTTGATGACGAGTATTGGGGGGGGGGGGGTTGACCCTGTCAATCTCACAATTGGTGATAAGTACGTCATACCGCCATCGTCTGCATCTGCGGCGTGTGTGTGTAAAATCACCGAAAATCTAGTTTGTGGACATTGTGAGCATCTGCTCATTTTTTAGATGTTCATTACTTTCTTACTTTGCAATTTTCTCCTTTTACTTGAATGTAATTTGGTGTTTTATGTGGATTTTAATGTTGCACAGAATGTTTATGCACTCGTGCTTGAATTTCTACATTCCAGTGATTGCCTTTGTTGGCATTAATCTTTTTTAGAATTTCCAACCTTTTTACATGTAAACTTTTGTTTATTATTGAATCATTTTAACGTTGTTTTGTATTGCACAATCAAATTGTATATTGTCGTCTTTCCTAAAAGAAAGTTGTCTTTCAGTATTGATACAAATTCAAAAAAACCCAAATAATATTTTATTCAACAAGAAACCCATGTTTTTTTTATATTATAACAATAATGGTAATAATTTATTATTATTATGAATTTAATTTTTTTTGAAAGGATTTTCAAAATAAGATTTTATAAAGAACCTCTTTAATAGTAATTATACAATTCACTTGATAATGTTTTTGATATCATATGCATACATTAAATATTTTCTATAAATTCTTGATAATATAAGAATTATTCAGAATTCTTTTGGATCTTACACTATTTTTCATAGATCTCTAAAAATGTCTACAATCTTCTAAAATACTCCATAAGATTTCAAAATAGGTTCTTTGTAGTTTAGAAGTCTTTAAGTATCTTTATGGTCTTCCATAAGCTTCTATAATTGCACAAGATTTTTAATTTTTTTTTTCATTCAAGTATAAATTCTTACAAAAAATTAGTTAAATGTCTATAAAAATCTTCATGTCTTAGAATCTCTTCATCAAGCTTTCATAGAATATAGTAATATTTTTAAAAAAGATTAGAAAAAAAAAAACTATGTTTCAATAAACACCACTATTTTTAAAACTTTCAAACTTATTTATTCATAGAGATATTATTTTAAATTTTTCTTAAAATTATTATATTAATATATTTTTTAAAAAATATAGTGGTTAAATTAATTAGAATATTTTAATTATAAATTTCAAAAAAAATAATATATTTATATATATTTTTTTATTTTGCTATAGTAGACACATTTAAATATATTATCATGGCACTAGATGATTTATAAATGACGATAAAAAAATTACAAATTTTCATTTTAATACACCGCAACTAAAACAATTAAATTATTCTAAATAAGTTAAAATTAGATAAATTATATTTTAAAAATAATACAATAGTATCAACACTTTAATGAAAGTTATTAGCTTTTAACAAAATATCCAAAGAATAATATGCTAGATAAGTTTAATAAAACAAGATTTGTTTTGTTTTGTTTTGTTTTTGTTTTTGTTTTTGTTTTTTTTTGTTTTGTTTTGTTTTTGTTTTTGTTTTTTCTTTTTTGTTTTGTTTTGTTTTGTTTTGTTTTTTTTTTTTTTTTCTTCTTTTTTTGTTTTGTTTTGTTTTTTTAAGCTTTATTCAACTAGCACAATTATTTCTATACTTGCATCATTTAAGATATCCTATGCAGATACCAAAGTAAAAAATTTAGTAATTCTTTTAAATTTTTTAATATTAACCAGGTTTGTATCCTTGTTAGAAAGAAATTTTGAATTTCTAAAAAACTCTGAAATATTTTTTTATTAAAATATGAATTAGACTTAAAAAAATAATGGAAAATAATATATATATTTTTGAAATATTACCTCTAAAATTTTATATTTATATATATATATATATATATATATGTATATATTAATTTTAAATGAATAATAGGTATTATTAATTAAAATAAAAAATCTTATTGTTAAATTATTTTTCTTAATTTCAAAGATGATATAAAAGATTTATTTTTTTAGTAATTCCAAATTTTAATATTTTTAGTGAATTTATTAAATAATTGAAATATATATATATATATATATATATATATATATATATATATATATATATCAAAAAATTATATTAATAATTTCTAGTACTAATAGTAATGACTTATAGGAATAAGAATATTTAATATAAATTGATGCAACTAAATTTAAATACTTACTAAAGAATAAAAATAAAGAAAATAGTATTTTTTTAAAAAAGATTACTTTGGATTTTATTGCACATCATCAATTAATAAGAAAAATTTCTTGAAAATCAATAAGATCCAATTATCTTAGAAACTATATAATTAGATATTATAAGTTTATTTTTATTATTTTTTTCATATATTAAACTTGCATTATGTTTTATGATTTATATATCTATTAAAAATTAATATGAAGATAATTGAAAATACTTTCAGACCTTAATGCAAAAATAAAGACTTTGTAAATAAAAAAAAATACTAATTATTAAAATAAAATCCAAAAAATATTTTAATTATTGGTAGATAATTAGTTGAATAAGGCTTTTTGAAAATTTTTCACATTTTGAAGTAATAGTGGCAAATCAAATGTCAAATATTATTTTAAATGTCATCCAATTTGCTTCAAGTTTTATTATTTTTGGACCTTTAAAATTTGAATCACTTAATTTGATAATAGATTGGTCAAAATATATATTTTTTTTAAAGAATATACTGTTTAAAAGAAAAAATTAAATAAAAATAAAAATTTGACATTTAAAATGTAGTTTTTTATATGAGAAGCCAAAAACAATATAATTTTTGTAGTTTATATTACATAATGAAGAACCTCAATCAATAAAATTAAAAGAGATTTAGCTATCAAATATCATAAGTTTAAGAATGTGTTTAAAAGAATAATATTAATATATTATTAAGATATTGTTAGAGACAAGAAACAATAAATAAAAATAAAGAAGTGATATTTTTTTAAAAAAAGATGATAATTATATATATAGATGTATATTTAAGATGAAACTAGAATGGCTATTGCCAAAAGATAAGAAAACTAAAGACCCTTGAAACTATATTAGAAGCAAAAAATCAGTTGATAAGAGAGATGAAGTCTTTACTCTTGCTTTTATATATACTATTTAACTAAGAACTATGTGGCAATGTTTTGTAGAACCTCCAATAAGTGCCCAATTTCTACAATACGTATCTAACTTGTAAGACAAGTTTTTTATATATGTACCACATATCCAATTTGTACCTCAAGTCTCTAATATGTATAATACATGGCCAATTTATTAGCTAGGATTTAATTCCACCAATCACTTGTAGACATTTGTAAAGGAAAAGCTACATCTATATTGCTTTTAAGAAGCTTTTCTATAAGATATTATCAAATTTATTTAATTTTATTTATTTTTATATATTTTTATTATTCGAATAATTATTAGAATAAATATGGATGTCTTTGACAATATTTCTTCTTTTAGAAGCAAGTTCTATGAGGAGCAATTATCACATATTGAAGAAGTCCAAGATGCAACAAATTATATTTGCTACATAATATGAACTTTGTTTCCTTTGAAGGTAGTTGATGGATCCTCTCAACCATCAATAGTGTCTTATAGTAAGGCAAAAAGACTACCTTGGTATTTGAACATTATTAAGGCCTTCATAACTTCTTTCAAACAAAATATTAGAAATATTAAGAAGACTGATTCCTACCTCCATTAATATCACAAAATATTGAGAGTCTTTTTGAATGTTGTGATATCAAATGCATTATATTTCACCATTTATTCAAAAAAAAAACATGTCATTCTTGAGAGTCTTCATTTCTATTATGTCATCTTAAAAATTATGACAATTATAATATCTTGTTTCATAACTCATCAAACAATACTTCTTTAGTTGAATCTGTTAGTTATTAATTCTCTATCTCTATATCATTACAAATATAAAAAAACTACAATCAAAGATAGAAGATATAATACAATCTCTATTAAACTTTATTTCTTTTATAACACAAATTTTTTGTACTCTTCATCTTGTTTTTAATGGATATTGTCAATAAAAAGCTTTGACCTTCTCTGTTGTATTTATAAAATTCTTAGTTGATTCATATGTGCATTTACTAATATCATATCTATGTTAATATACAAGATATTTTAACCTAAGCCAATGCCACCTTGAGTCTAATACTTTTTGAATTTTAAACTTTTAATTATCATCTATTTCTACAAGATGAGATAATTTTTTTCTTTTTTTGGAGATATTTATTGTCTCATATGGCTCAAGAAGAAATATATGGAAACATGAGATGGATCTTCATAACTTTGCTAGGTATAATCAATAAGCAATTGAATTAATTTTTTTATAAATAAAATATGATCTAAGTCTATAATAATCTAATTTATCATAAGAATAATTAGTTCTAATGTTACAACAAAGTAATCATATCTTATTGCCAACATGGAATTGAGATTTTTTTTATAATCAACATCTACATTGGTCTTTGTTGCTTATAAGCTTCTTTTAATTATGCCTTTATTGATGCATATAACTCTAATAAATAATTTTTTAAATCTTTTGCTACTAGATTATTAACTATTGTTAAATTAAAATTATCAAATTATAGATGATAACCATAATTAATAAAAAATTATTGAATAAAAGAATATATTTTAATATTATAAAAAAAATTCCAATAGCAAAAGAATTATCTAATCATCTTGATGATAGTTGATGATACATTGTAAATATTGTTCTACAATTTAATTTATTCATTCTATTTAT